TTACCAAATACCAACCGTCCAAAGAGAGAAAATCTGTGTTTTGAAAATTGAAATAAATGAATCGAATTCCAAAAAGGGAAAGAATTAATAATGCGATTGGAACATGGGTGATGAAAACCCCAGATTTGGCGACAAGAAGCTCTCTTAGAACCTGTTTTCACTGAGGTGGCGGTATGTGATTGGAGAATGGAGAAGGAAAGTAGCAAAGTAGCAGAGTAGCAGAGTTAATGGGTTACCAACCGAGGAGCTTCTCTGATTATCGGAAAATCCAGATTTTGTAGAATCTTCTCCTCAGTCTTGGTGTGAAAGGGGGACTGTTTGGGCGGGAAATAAGGTCGCAGAGTTAATGGGTTCTGAATCCGGTGACAATTGTGTTTTTGGTAAAGATTGTTCGGATTTTAAACGAAAAAAAAAATGGAGAGAGAAAGCCCCGCAGCAGAGCCATCTACCGAAAGTTTGCGCCGAGGGTTTGCGTGCCGTGCTAGCCTGGCCTACGGATTCTCGTTCTCCTTCATCCTCTATTGCAACGCAACGAAACGCACGCTGCTCGTGTGCTTCCTGCTCCCAAGGAAAGAAAAAAGAGCGTGCTTCCAGCCCCGAGGAAAGAAAAAAGAGACAGAGACAGGTTTTAGTTCAGAGCTTCAATGGCTTCCCCGCGTCCTGCAGATAATATTTTCTGATTTGAGTTCGTCCCAATGTAGGTAACTGTATTTCATGGCTTTGAATTCAATTAGCATTGTTTAACTAAAATTCCTCAGATTTTTTTTTTTTTTTTGATTTTATTGATTTTATAAGGTTAATTTATTGAATTGGTTAAATTTGTGGGTATTAACTTTTAAGCCCACACAGATTGCCGGTTTTGTTGAACAAGTAACACTAGCATCGTAGCATGGTACAACTGAAACTTTATTCCAGTGGAAAAATAAGAAATATAATTTTACTGGACTACTCTTTTTTTTTCTTTTTTTTTTTTGTTTTTTCTTTTGGTCAGAGTGTTTCCCGTAATTTCTGGTATCTCCACTCTAATTTCTCCTTCGGGATCTTAAGGGTGCACCTTCTTGAGGTTGTTTAACTGTTAATGTTATTCAATTAGATAAACAGTTATTCAATTAGATAATAGCAGTTAGGCCTCATTGTATTGTTATGCCAGAAAAGTTGGGTAAAGATTTTTCATGTTTCGTTGAAGCAACTTCTCCGAACAAATTTGAGTATACTATTACTTCATAAATTGAACAAATAATACCAGCTACTAGTACAAAACAATTCAATATTTTATACCGCCAATGTTTTAGTTAGTCAGTAGCTTACAATTATCATAATTGTTGCGGGAACATGCGTGTTTTAAATTTACAATACGAGCTATGATTCAGCATTTTCTAACATGTGGTGCATTCATATTTGTCCAGCACTTTGTAACATGTGTTGCACTCACATTTATTTAGGTCAAGCCGTGGAACTTCCCCAACTGTGCAGTGGACAACCCCAAAACTCTATGAGCTCTGAAATTATCAGTCAATCCCAGGTACTTCAGGAGTTCTTATTACCCAGCTGTTAGCAATGGTTGGACTTTCTTCTTACAACGAATGTCAACATGCATTACATGTTCTAGTTTCTGGAATAATTGGTTATGTCAGAACCATTAACTACTATTCATGTCTCATGAGCCATGTAACACCGGAATTTTCGAAAGGTAGCATATAAGAAAGGAAATCACTACAGAAATGGTTAATCAAGTCTTAACTAAGCAATTTTTAAAATGAAAGAACATATCACTATAGCTAAAAACTTAGCTTCCATATCTCACATGCATTCACCATTACATATCAGATTCCACTACGTGCATTTTGTTTTGTTTGCTTAAAATAACCAACCTCTATCTGAATATTTTGGAACAATTGACAGTGATTGCTTCACTTAGCTCTAATTATAGTTCTAGGAAGTAGCTGGCACTTACCTTGCTTGGTCTGTGCAGAACTTGAAATCCTCCTGAGTTCTTCAAGCTCCACTGTACTGTTGCTTTCCAGAACTCTCTACCCCTTTTCCTTTCCTCTCATCTCGTGAAATAGGAAGAAAGTAGAAAATTTGACTTAAATATGCTTCTAAGCTTATAAAGCTAAGTCTAAATCATGTGTAGACAATCATATTGAGTTTTAATTACATCCCACTAAATTAATTCCAATTTCACAAGTGTCTTGGCAACCAATTGTCAAGAACAAATATACCACTAACTATTTACATTTCAACAAAAAACTACCATGCAAACAGAGCCTGCCTTAAACTATACAATCTTACTTTTAAGTAACTTACAGTTGAGGACAGAAATTAATATTCTATGCAAACAAGGACGGGGTTATTGCAGTTTTTCGGTTTATGTATTTTTTTTTCCTTTAACTGTATTGGTAACTGGACCAACTCCCAGATTAAAGGTCCATTTTTAGTAAGAGTTTTTAGTTACTATTAGTAATACTGTGTTTAATTTGTTTACTTTCTATTAGGCTTAAATTTCTTATGGGCATGAGACATTAAAAAAAACAAAAAAATCTAAGAGAAAATGACTTCTTTTTCCATTTTTCTTTTCTTTTTCCTTTTTCTTTTTTGAGGAATCTTTTTCCTTTTTCGTAAGTAAGAGAAAG